AACCCATTTCTGGTAAATTAATGCTGAAGCCTGCACTAATGATTCTGGTATTCGTCCGTGCGTAGCGTGTTTCTGGTGAGTTTCATAGAGTTCGTTCAGGGTCCCAAACTCAATGAACTATGGCCTTTGTCCTTTACATCCTTCAACCAGCCCATCCAGATCCAAAAGAGAGACTCCTTAAACCAGTCCGCTTGACAAACCCTTAGTCGCGGTATGGTCCAATGACCAATGTCGGGCATCACCGTCTAACCCCACCGGAAAGGGTCCACCGCAGCATATCCAGCCAAACCACGATGCCAAGGATTCAGAACAGCATAAACACATTCAAATGCGACATGCTTTATACATGTAACGTTTGACAAATATTACTTGAATCGTCAACCCCAATGATCCTCGAAAAACAGAGGATATAGATTAAAAGCTTTCGCCAAAAAAAGACCAACAAAAGATCAACGTGACAGTTTTATTTACCCAGGTGCGCTGACTTTCTCAAACACAACTGCCAAGTAGGAACCCAATGCATATATCATCAGCTTCTCGCCATCGATTATTTGACAACCGCCCTTCTCTTCGGGTTGATAGAAGTATATGCCCTGAAACGAGCAAGGTTTCGCGGGTTAAGACCAGAGTAGCCTAAATGATTATATCGACTCACCTCTTTCCTGGCAACTGTAAACTGTCCGCCATCATAACTGCGGTTTAGTGAACAACAGCGCGGTACGCAACCTTCTTTTTCTAAGGTATTCTGGAAAAAATCTCACCGTTAACATCGAGCGATGAAGATATACAACTGCAGGCATAGAAAAATAAATTTTAGGATATTTGTTAGAGGGCCGCTACAGTGCACTAGCAGAACTGTCGACCGATATACGATGTGAGAGGCCAGAGCAAACGTACGGAAAAAATTAAAAAACACAAAATACGATAAAAACTTTGTCGACTATGGCCACAAATAACTTACATTTACATACAAATCTACTCAGCATATTTTCCTCAGGGTAAAAAAGCTTAAAATTTTAAAAACTTTACAGCTCAGACAATATCTTATTTGCTGAGTGGTCTAGGAGCAATCCTGGTCTGTGAGTCAGTAGTGAGAGCTCAGGTTTTGCTGAACAATTCCACGTTCTTGCCTTTGCAACTTTTCAAATATTTCGGGTTTACGAGCCTTCGTGCATGAAATAAACAATGACGATTTGTTTGCAAGCCACGACAAATAATCCTTTGTTTTGTAATGACGGTGTCTTAAACCTCCAGTTTCCTCCAACGAGCTGCTTACTTGCCACCAGTTGAGACATTACCAGTTATACCACTCCC